CCCACTACTCTCCCACCTCCGGGCTGATCTCTGGAAACATCAGGATTGGACCTAATCCTACTTCCTCCCAAAACAACCCCATAGTACACCCTGGGGATTTAGTATTCTACACTTCCCCAGAACCACAAAGTCCTTTAACTCCTAAATGGGAGGGCCCTTACCCAGTCATTCTTTGCACTCCCACAGCTGCCAAGCTTTCCCTACCAGACAACCAAGTAACTCCATGGATCCACATTTCCAGGTTAAAGCCCTGCCCTCAAGGCCCACTGACAAACCTCATGGATTTGGATTGTCGGGAGGGGCCCTAGGGCATACTTTATGGGCAGTTAAAGATATCAATACTAAACTTGAACAAGCCTTGACCTCCACCGCTGAGTCCCTTTCATCCCTACAAAAACAGGTCACCTCCCTAGCCAAGGTAACTCTACCACAGAGAAGGGAGGCACATGCACCTTCCTCAGGGAAGAATGTTGTTATTCAATGAATCAGGCTTAGTCGAAACTAACGTCATCAAACTCACTGATCTGGCCTCTAGCCTCCAGGCCACGTCCAACTCTAACCCCTTTCCTTTTTCCCCAATCCTCTCCTAACTTGGATATGGCCTGTCATAGGACTATTATCTACCCTACATTATTCAAATAAGTAAAATTTCTAACCAAGCTTTTAACCAGCCTTTACTTAGAAATTACCAGCTGCTGGCCACGGAAGAGCCTTCCTGCTCCTCAATAGAATGCCTGACATCTTGCCGAAATGGATCTAAATCACTGGGGCGCTTGTTCCTGACCACTCTAGCTGCAGATGCATGGATGATCTTCCCCACAACCTCTTACGCCCATTGGACACAGCAGATGGCTGACCTATGGCTCCAAGGAACTTTCACGGATTTCTCTCCCCTTGAAATCACCCTGTTCAACACTCCCCTTTGGGGTATAATGGGGGTTTCTTTCTCCTCCCTGTTTCCTCCTCCCACGACGCCCCCTCCAGCAGGAAGTAGTTCAGAGACCTCAACGACCTTATCCCCAATAGAGGAAAAAGGGAGGAATGTAAGGCCCCATAGAAGACCCCAAAGGAGGCACTCCCTAAAACATGGCGCTTTTCTCTTCCGGGTCCTAACAATCTTGCCGGCGCCAAGGTGCAGCCTATCAGAAATCATTACCCACCCCCGGCCAATCAACTACCGCCCCGTGTACTAACCACCCTCTCCTGGAATCCGGCTCTATATAAATGTATGCTTCTCCCCCGAATAAAGCGGAACTTCTCCGGTGAACTGTCAGCTCGGGTCCTTCGTTCTTTCAATCAGTCTGTCTTCTGAATTTAGAAATTTCAAAATTTTTCAGTTACTGAAATTATATTTGTACTCTAATTGTATTTCCTTGAGATTTTTCATTACTTTGTTAAACTTTCTTTCCTATATTCTATTAATTCTGTGCTCAACAGAAGCTGCCTGTTCCAGTTACTCAGCTTAGTTTTTGACTCTCAAGTTATTGAATTTCTTTGCATATTCATGACAGACTGTTCCTTCAGCATCCAGATAGGTAAGACTATTGGCATATACTAGAGAGTGAAATACCAGCAGATTATGAAAAACACGGGAATTTTCAGCACCAAGCACCAAACATCTTACCAAACTTACTCCTCTGCTAAATCATAGGAAGGAGCTTTCTAAGAACCTACCCACTAGTTCAGTTCCCCTCTATACAGATTATCAGAACTGAACTGTCCCTCTAAGCACAAATTAAGGAGAAAGATGTCACATATCCCAATAGGATTCAAAGGATTCTGCCAGCTAAGTCATCTTAAGCAGCCTCCTAAGACTTTGAGAAAAAGCAGATCACTCAGATTTTGCTCAAAACCTGAGAGAATGAAGTTCCCTACCTGCATTCTCTACTGGAATGCAGTTTTCAGTTTTGCCCCAGATCCTCCATCTTGGCTCCACCAGTTTGCTCAAAGAGGTTATTTTATTCCTCCAAAAAGCAGGGGGAAGAAAAGACAGAAACATGGGTAAAGCCAATATATTCCCACATTATCTCCCTTTTCCCATCTTCACTACTTCACATTGCAGTATATCTCCCCCATTCATAATTAACATTATTATTAATAATAACAAACTAGTCATGTTAGCTCATTTAATCCCTATAATCCTATAAAGCAAGGATTATCTTCATTTTGCAAATGAATAAAATAATGTTAGGGAAGATTAAGTATTTTAAAGGTTTGAAAGCCAGATCCATTTGCATGAGAGCCTATTATCTCTTCATAACAATCACTACCTCCAACTTTCATAAGCATTTGTGTGACCTCAAGCACACAAATCTTCCTGGGCCTCATTTTTCCATTTATAAAATAATGATGTTAATACCTACCTCATAAAATTATTACATAAACCCAATGAATGTATATAAAAGTGATCAGAACAGTGTCTGGCACAAAAATGCTCAGTAAGTGTTAACTATTAGTATTATTGCTTATTTGGCATCTTGTAGCTTAGAAATTTAACTTAAAAAAAAAAAAAGAAGCTTTTATTCTCAAGTAATTCAAAGAATCTAATGATCTGGCACTTACCAGTTCCACAAGTAGCTGTTATAATTTCTGGTAATATTTGTGACTGTTCAACTTGCTCATTGATGCATTTAAGAGTTAGTTAGAACCCACATTGTAAAAGTCAGTTCTTCACAACTATCACTTTGAATCTATTCACCTTTTTTTGCTTTGTAAATGCTTCAACTATCTGGACTAGATTACTACTCTATATAAATAATTTAAAGCTAAGTATTTTGAAGGAAAGCCAATAGTAAAACTTATTAAAAATGTGTACATTTTCAAGGCTGGCCAGTTAGTTCAGTTGGTTTGAGAGCAGTGTTATAATACCAAGGTCAAGGGTTTGGATCCCCATACCAGCTAGCCAAAAAAAAAGGGAAGTGTAGATTTTCTACTCAGGTTAAGCATAAATCACTATATGACACTCCTAAGCAAGATGTGATAACCAAGTCTGATGACAATGAGGCAGCCAAGCAATATGGTGCTAGCTTTTCAATGCTTCAGTAGAAGTAGATAATTTGATGTTCTCTATAGTTATAAAATAAAATTAGCCTTTTTTAGTGATACTTACCCAATAGCATTCTACTGGAAATGAAAACAAATGTACTATTTATTTATATACTATTCATTTATGCTACTGCTTCCAGTAATCCCTTCTTATACGTTCTACTGCCTGTAGCACAAACCTTTCCTTATCCTTTGGGGAAAATGCCAAGCTTTGCAAAAAGAAATGTAAGTCGGTCTTTGGCAACTATCAAAAAATATAATTCTTTTAGGCAAAAATCATCAACAGATGCTAAAATTACTAGATGAAAAGTTTGGCATGCAGTGGTAGCACAGAATAATCTAGAAAAAAATTATTAGCATGTTGCTTCTTGATTAGTCAGCATCCCAAGACTTCAGGCATTTTTATCACCTCAATAATCAAATTATATATACCTATATGTAAAATATATATGCCTATATAAAACAAACTTTACAATCTCATCTGTGAAATGAGGCTATTATCATCTAACATTAATAGATATGTAGAAGAATTCAATGAGATAAAATATTCTAAGGTACTAACATAAAACCTGGTAGAGTAAGTACTTAATAAACAGCGGATATCACAACGAGTATATTCAAAATCCAAATAAGAGATGTGATTCTGCTTCAGTTTGGCATTGCTGTTGTTCTGTATCTAGGTGTAGTAGTTTAAGAAAATCATCTTGACCCTGAAAGCAATTAACTCCATCCTCTCATGTACCAAAAAAACCAATTATTATAAGTAAATAAATAAATCCTTCTACACTGTTGAATTATTTTATGTAAATAAAACACAGAAAAACAATCACATCCTTGACAAAAGAAATCACAAAAGGAATAAGGAAGAAATTGTTAAATGAAAATGAAAAATTTTTAACTTACTGACTGACTAAATCAGATCCCATCTTAGAGCCATCATCTGCCTCCTCTTCCATATCAGAGTCCATACCATTGTCACCTTATAAATGAAATAAACTATTGAAAGCATCCTTATAAAATGTTGAAATGATCCAATCATTACATAAAAAGTGTCATCTTTAAAAGCAATGCACATTATAGAACTTTATAAACACCAAGATCAAGGGTTCAGATCCCCGAACCATTCAGCTGCACAAAAAAAAAAAAAATCAAAGAACTTTAAAACTGTTATTAAATCTTTAATTGCTTGTATTTAAAATAATGAGTTGTTCAATGCCTTATTAAGTATCTATCGTTGCCTTTCCTTTATCTACTACTAATAAGGCATTGAAAAACAAGAATATGTAAGTATATACTTACAGACTACACACATACATATACATCTACTTCCAGAGTTACAAAATTACATTAAACCATTTTACATTTAAAAGAAAAGTTATTTCTGGAAACTGAAAGTTTCCATTGTTTGTTTCTTCTTCTGTGATGCTAAAATCCTTGCAAAGTTCCAAAAGAAAAAAAGTGCTTTGCAAATCCAAAATTCTAAAGGTATCAGTATCACAAGAGCAGTGTATACCTCAGATGGACTTATAAATGTTGACAAATTGCAAAAATCCTTCTAACTTTGCAACTGGGTCTTAATAGAGCAGAAACAGTATGCAACAGGTAACTAAAAGCTAGAAAGAATATAAAGCAGAAAATAAAAAAAATTATGTTAAGAAAAATCTTTGCCTTTTGAATAATTAATTTTTTCAGTATTTTTGGTAAATATTTTTTATTTCATTTTATTATGGTGTATAAACTTATGTTGTCACCTAATACATTTGATTTGGAAAAACTATACATCAGGTCTATTCTTGAAATGTTATTCTAACACATAAACTATATTTCTCTGTACAAACAGAAGTAAAAATACTCTTCAATGATTACACAATAATAAAATTAAAGTAACATCCAAGTAGGAGAAAGAACACCTCAGATTTACACCGATTAGACTATTATTATAGTATTAACTAATAAGTTACCAGAACATACAAATATGGATTCTTACCCTCAAGAATCTTCAAGATTTTTTTTTCAGACAGGAGCTCTAACTGTTCCTGGCATAGTTTTTTAATTTCTTCTACTGAACAGTTCTAAAGAAAATGACATTTTAAAAAAATGCATTTATGTAATACAGCTCGTAAACTGGAAAACTGCTATCACAAAAAAAAAACTCTGTTTAGCAAAATCTTACAATAAAACAAATTAAAGCCTCAAGTAGATTCACATAAATCTTTTCATGGGAGGATATCTGAAAAACTGCCAGTTAATATGCGAACAATTTGAGATTTGATATTATTGTCATTTGATAATAATGTCATGTTTATTATGAAAGAACAAACTAAAGAGTAAGTCAGTTTCTCAGATACCCTTAATAGCAGCCTATTTATACCTAAATGTTTAAATATTCAAGTCCTGGCTCTATACATCTTAGATATATGATTTTGGGCTTAACTTGTCCAAGGCCTATTTCCGCAACTATAAAATTAGAATAACATATATTTCCCTAAATAATTTTCAGAAATAAATATATGAAAACACTCATAAATTTAATGAAATATGAGGGGTCTTCAAAAAGTTCATGGAAAATGTGTATTATTAAAAAATTATGTATGTGTTGCAAAACTTTTTTGCACCAAAATAAACTCATACTAACTTGTTATATAAACATGTCTACACAGGATCTAGTTTGAGGCACTAAGGATAAGACAGTTTGGAAAGAGCCCTTATCAGAGCAACATGAATTCTGCAAAAATGGAAACAAGAACATCAAATTGATGGTGAAGATCAATGGAAGAATGTTGAAAACACTGACAGTTTACAAAAAGTTTATGAGGAACATGCCCCCCAAAAATCATCAATTTGCAGATGTATAACTCATTTTAAGAAGGGACTAGATGATACTGAAGATGAGGCCTGCAAGGGTAGACCATCCACATCAATTTGTGAGGAAAAAATTAATCTTCTTCATGCCCTATTGGTACCAAGACTGTTACGCCCAGATCAGCTGCAGACAAAAGCAGAGCTTTCAACAGAAATTTAAACAAGTGGGATTGAGATCCTAAAACATTTCTTTGAAGAACTTAACAGGAAATGAAACATGGCTCTACCAGTATGCTCTTGAAGACTAAGCACAATCAAAGCAATGGCTACCAAGAGGTGGAAGTGGTCCAGTCAAAGCAAAAGCAGACCGGACAAAAGCAAAGGTCATGGCAACAGTTTGGCATGCTCAGGGAATTCTGCTTGTTGACTTTCTGGAGGGCCAAAGAAAAATAACATCTGCTCATTTTGTGAGTGTTTTGATAAAGTTAGCCAGAGGGGGCTGGCCGGTCAGCTCAGTTGATTAGAGTATGGTGTTGTAACACCCAGGTAAGGGATCACATCACCCTAACAGTCAGCTGCAAAAAAAAAAAGAAAAGAAAAGAAAGTTAGCCAAAGCTTCAGCAGAAAAATGCCCAGAAAAGCTTGACCAGAGAGTCTTCTCCACAACAATGCTCCTGCTCATTCCTCTCATCAAGCAAGGGCAATTTTGTGAGAGTTTGGATAGGAAATCATTAGACATCCACCTTACAGTCCCGATTTGGATCATTCTGACATGTTTCCTAATCTTAAAAAATCTTTAAAGGGCAGCCATTTTCCTTCAGCTAATAATGTAAAAAAGATTGCATGGACATGGTTAAATTCCCAGGACCTGCTGTTCTCTAGGGATGTACTAAATGGCTGGTATCATCACTTACAAAAGTTTCTTGAGCTTGATGGAGCTTATGTTGAGAAATAAAGTTTATATTTTTTATTTTTTTTCTTTTAATTCCATTTTCCACGAACTTTTTGAAGTCTCTTTGTATAAGCTATTGCCAACCATTGTTGCGTACTGTTACACAGCAGTATATTATTATTTCTTAAAGCAGCCCGAAGATTCTTTATACCTTCAATTTTGTTACTCTTTTAATTCCATTTTCCACGAACTTTTTGAAGTCTCTTTGTATAAGCTATTGCCAACCATTGTTGCGTACTGTTACATAGCAGTATATTATTATTTCTTAAAGCAGCCCGAAGATTCTTTATACCTTCAATTTTGTTACTACCATGCCTGTATTTAATATAATTATTTTCACAGAGTCAATAAATTTCTTGCCTAAACATTTTTTCCTGGCAAATTTTAAAATATATGCAGCCATTTATGGTTTTCCAAAACCCCCCTTTTATATCTTTTCAAGTAGCTTGTTTTAGATGAAAACATCCAATTATAAACTGTATTAAGTAAAATCATTGGTACAGAGAAGGTTCTGTTTCTATATATCTGAAAAGTCTGATAATGTTTGTAATCAAGTACCTTTAACACATCAGGAAGCATCTTCTGTAACTTTTTCTCTCCTATAATACAGAAGCACTGCTGAAGCATTTCCTTTTTGTCTGATATATAGAAACTAACTGGTTTTAATGATACGGTCAGGTCCAGTCCACCTTCCTCAAGATCACTGTGCTCTGCTAAGAATAACTCTTTTTCCAAAGTTGGCAAAAGATACTTGGTTTCCTAAAATTAAAAAAATAAAGAACTATTAAATACTACTACTTAAAATATACGGAATATGTATATGACATCATACATTTTCATTTAATAAATTCTACTTCATTAAACATTTCCAAATACTTTATTTGCACAATTATTTATCTAAAATCATAGGAAAGAATATTTAATTGTTCAGTATTCTTTGATTTTACTCTCCATACCGCAGTTAACTCAAGGAGTTAATACAGAGGGACGACATAACATCTTAGGACATACAAATGACAATATACTCAATATTGAATAATTTCCTACAATTTTAGACTTCTGAAGAATTAAGATATTCCTCCAGGTGGCCATTCACCTAAAAGTTTTATGTATGCATTGACATTCTATTTAAATTCATATAAAATGGAGGGGACACATCTGGGTGGGAGGGGGGAGTGGGAGGAGGGAGGGAGGTTTTGGTGATGGGACACAATAACTAACTACATTGTATATTGACAAAATAAAAATTTTAAAAAAATGTAAAAAAAATAAAGAGATGTACGGTGTCTGGCATGAAAAAATAAATAAATAATAAAAATTTAAAAAATAATAAATAAAAAAAAATAAATTCATATAAAGAAATGGAATATCAGCAAAAATGTTTGTAAAAAAAATAAAGAGATGTACGGTGTCTGGCATGAAAAAATAAATAAATAATAAAAATTAAAAAAATAATAAATAAAAAAAAATAAATTCATATAAAGAAATGGAATATCAGCAAAAATGTTACAAACCACAAACATCATACAGTAAAGTACTATGCTTACCGGAAGCTATAATCGTTTTAAAAATTGTTACATAATTTAATCATATTCAAAGTAACCAAGTAATTTCAGTAATTTAAGGCATTTCTGTTCATTTTACCTACTATCTCCCAAATCTATCGTCTTTCCAAATCTGCCTGGTCCAAACTACTGTGATATTTTGCTTAAATTACATTAATAGCCATTTAAGTAGACTCCCTGCATTCTAATCTGAGGTCTGTTTTGTATACTGTTACCTGAATGCATATAAAATGTGCATGTACTCAAAGCTTCTTGTTTAAAACCTGTCAATGATTTCCCATTGTTCTTATAACCTTCATGCTCATTCTTTGTGTTCTGAACAGAACAACCTTCTCTGAATTACTCAGATATAACCTGTTGTCCTCCCTTCCTCATACCGCAGTTTTTGTATATATTGTTCTCACTGCAACACTCTTTCCTCCCCGCTTTCACCACCATACTATACTCACAAGATTAACAAAATCCAATACTTCAGATATCAATTCAAAAGTCATTCCTCAGGAAAATCTTCCCTGACCACATAAGTCAGGTATGTTTCTCGGTTATATCTTCTAATGGAATTGTTTAAAAAGCAGTTTTAAATCGGGCAAATTTTAAAGAATACTATATAATTAAACAGAAAAAATGAAGGTCAGCTATTGTTCTAATGGCTCACAATGTAATAATGTAGAGGAACTGAAACCCTCCTACACTGCTAACAGGAATATAAAATGGTGCACTGGCTTTGGAAGGAAAACAGCTTGGTGGTTCCTCAAAAAGTTACATTATCCAGAATTTCCATTCCTAGACACATATCCAAGAAAAATGTAACCATATGTGCACACAAAAATTTGTACACCAATGTTCTTAGCAGCATTATTCATCATGGCCAAAAGACAGAAAAAAACAAATGTCCATTAAGTAATAAATGAAAAAAAAAATGTGGTATAGCCATACAACGAAATATTATTCAGCCACAAAAAAGGAATGAAATTTTGTGCTGCAAAGGAATGAACCTCTGTGCTACAACACAAATGAACATTGAAAGCATTATGCTAAGTGAAAGCCAGGCACAAAATCCCACATATTATATGATTCCATTCTTCACATGAAGTGTCAAGAACAGAGAAATCTCTAAATCTATAGAGAAGGGAAGTAAATTAGTGGTTACCTAGGGATGGTCAGGGTGGGGGTATTAGGGTACAATATAGTACAAAGAAAGTTTCTTTTTGGAGTGATGAGAATATTTTTAAATTGACTGTAGTGATGTCTGCACAACTCTGAATATACTCAAAAGCACTAAGCTGTACACTTGAAATGAGAGAATTATATGCTGTGTCAACTATATTTCAATAAAGCTCATCCCCCAAAATAGGGCATTCAATATACAACAGATAAAATGTATCTACATGCAACGATTTTTTCTTCTTTACAAATACACTTATTTCTCATTCGAAATTGAGTTTAGTTTTGTATGCAAATGTTTACAATACTTAACATTATTGGTCTCTCAACCATAAGGAGTACTAGACATATAGAAACTATTTAAGATAAGAATAGTGATATCCATAATTGAATCTAGAAGGGGTAGAAAAACTGAATAAATCTATAACTATTAAATAATTTTTGTAAAGAGTTAAAAAAAAACCCAAAAAACTATACCTAAAAAACCCCACCAGATCCAGAGAGCTGTATTGTCCAATGGTCAAGTCCTAACAAATATTTGAGAAAAGGATGTAAACTATTCTTGACGACACCAAAATAAATGCAAAGTTTTCCAACTTAATCCATAACAAAAATAAAAATCATTGGTTGATTTAACTTAGGAACATTTACACAAAAGTAAAAATACTGAATTCCAGCCGAGTACAACAAACCAACCCCACAAACCAAACAGGACTTATCCCAAGACTGCAAGGACAGTTCAACAGCAACTAACTTATCAATAGTACCTGACTGAAGGTGAAAAACTGTGATCATCAACAGAATGACAGAAAACCATCGATAAAACTCTACAACCCGCAGTGTACTACAAACTGAAGAAAAATTTCCCTAATCTGATCAAAGATATCTTTCAAAACCCATGACAAATATACTTATTCGTGGAACATTACAAATGTTCCCACTAAAGAAGGACTGGGAAAAGAACGCCTATTCCCAAAGCTACTGTTCAACACTACACTGGAAGTCCTTGATAATGCAAAAAGAACTAAAAATAAGAAATATTTATGCTGAAAAGAAGACACAAAACTCGCTGTTACCAAAAGTTTTTCTGAGAATCAATTTTAAACTAATAATAGTGTGACTAGGCACAAGATAATTAAAAATAGACTTCCATGCTTTCACAATTCCCAATTTAAAGATGTAATGTTTAAAAGTATTAGAAGAAAATACAGAATAGTCTTATATTCTTGGATTAGGAAAGACCTTTCTAAATAACACATAAAAATCCAGAAGGCAGAGGAAAATACAAAAAAATCAAAGGCTTCAGTACACCCTGGACAAAGTTATAACATTTGCGATATACTCTACACAAAGGGTTAGAATCCAAGACTTTATGTAAAGATATTTGGAACTTAGTGAAAAGTTGAAAACAATCAAAGAGAGAAATTGGCAGAGGATATGTACAGACAATTACATAAGAAGGAATCAAACAGCAAACAAATATATAAAAGTTCAATCTCACTACTAATCAGGAAAATGTAAATTAAAACAAACACAATATGACCCATTAGACAAACTTTTTAAAATGTATATCAAACGTTACTGAAGATTTGCAGAAATGGGTATTCTCACATACTGTTTGGACTATAAATCAGTAAAGTCTTACTTGCAAAATATTTGGTGGTACTTATCATGTTTTTTTAAACGCATAAAGTTTGAACCACCCACTTCACTTTTTAGACTAACCTAACGTAAATCCTGCACAAGATATATGTACAAGGGTGTTCGTTTTCGTATTTTCCGTAATAACGAAAAAACTGGAAACCGTAATATTCATCAATAAAGCTATAATGGAATACCGGGTAATCACTAAAAAATAAGGCACCACAAATAGAAATCTATCCCAACAATATAAGGATATTATCCGATTCGATAGGGGAAAATATCACAATACAGCTCACGTATAGGAACTTAAACACATATCTGACAAGGGGTAATGAAATAAACTTAATGGGCAGGCATGGAGAGGAACTTCCACGCTTTTCTCTTTATTTCTGTGTTGAATGAAATTTAAGTACGTATTCATTAATCTGCTTTATAACAACTTATAAACTTCTTATTTATTTTTGGCAGCTGGCGGGTCCGGGGATCCGAACCCGTGACCTGGCTGTGCTCTATTCAACTAAGCTAAGCGGCCAGCCCGAGTTGTAAACTTTTTTTTAAAACGGAGGTACCTTGGCAGGTTGATGGCGCATAAAGAACATGGCTTTTATATGGTCAAATTTGAATTCAAACCTAGAGGCTACCAAACTCTGTGCCCATGGATAAAGTTCCTTAACCACTGTGGGACTCAACTTTCTCAAGTTATATGGAGTTAATCATAATCTAATAAAAAGTGAAAATGGGCCGGCCCGTGGCTCACTCGGGAGAGTGCGGTGCTGATAACACCAAGGCCCCGGGTGAAAATGAAGAGAGAAGTAAAGTGTCTGGCTTGCAAGGGCACTAAAGTCTAGCTCCCGACCCATACTCTTCAGGGAGACTGAGGAGACCAGGGGAGCAGAAGAGGTCAAAAGTTCAAAAAAAAAAAGGTGAGCTGATCAATAAGTCCAGAAACTCGAAGTTCAAGACATGGAATGTGACGTTCGCCGGGACTTGGGAGCACGAGCCTCAAGCACAGGTGAACTCTTGGGGTGGCCGCACTAACAGTGAGCCTCAGCAGGCGCCACATCCGCCGCCACCTTCCGTTCTTAGCCCGCCTTCCGAAGGCGGGAAGCGGCCAGAGGCGCACACGCACCTGCTGCAGAGACCCCGAGACGCTGGAGGATGAGTCGGTGCTTCTCCGCTTCCGGCGCTCCCCGCGCTCACCGCGCTCCCCGAGGCTCCCGCCCCAGCAGCTCCCGCCGCTCCCGCCGCCCGTGACACTTCCACTGAAGCTGGTATTCCCACAGCAGCTGACGCTCCCGCAGCCGCCGGCGCTCCCGCAGCCGCAGCTGACGACGGTCGGCACGAGATCCGGCGCCGCGAGGGCCGCCGGCCCCCCC